GCTTGTGAATCACGTGGAAGCTAATGTGAGCTCTCTTCCAGTACCACAATTGTTAATACTCACACCCTTTCGCAATCACCTGCTCTGCCCCAGGAGATTCTGGGGCAGCTGTAGGGCAACGTGTATGAGTGTATTACGCAATACTTTTCACTTGGCCCCGAGCGTAATAACATGCGGACTTTGGGATTCTACACCTCAGCCTTTTACAATTCATTAGCCGCTTTGGTGATGTTTGTTTTACATTCATAGTATCGCAATTATAAAGACCACATTTCAACAATAATGGGATATTCTGGTCGTCAGTGTTCCATTATCATGTGTGATATTCTTGGGTAATTACCCATGAGATGAAAAATGTTTTGTGCGCGATTGGCCACGGTTTCTGCGGCGAGCGGACTTCACTGGTGTGGAACAAAAAAAATAGGTGAACGCTTTCATTTGGTGAGATTGGCTACAAATCCAGGTAGGAGGCTCACTTAATGCACTGGCTTGCATGGCCCAGTTAAGAACGAGATAAAAAAAAAACTGAGCAAAAGTTACCAGGTCCAATTGCCTAGAGAGAGAACACACGGTGTAGTTATGTGGTGTTCAATGTGGCAGAGTCACTCTTTGAGTTGTTGCGTGAATGATGGAATGCTTTTGCAAATAGAGTATATTACATATTGTTGTGTTTCTTTGCTAACAGCCATGTATGGCAAAGCCGCATGACAATCATATAAAAGTTTGGTACTGTATATACTAAATTTGCTGTAGAAATCCTGTACTGACCAGCGTGGTCAAGTATGACCAAAACACACCCCCGTTTCAATAACAATGTGACATGGGGAGAGGCCTTAACCCCTTTGGTAAATTGAACATTTTGGGACTTCACATACTAAATAAGCAAGGGTTTTTTTTTACTCATACAGTTAGGGGAGAAACCGTTGTTTGCAACTGAAGTAATTTCCTATTTGCAACCCAGCGATGGAAATTCAACGCAGCGATGGAAAATTTCACATTTCCATGGCCGGAGTGAGTCCATAGTACACCACTTATAAAATGTATCAGATAGTCTTCTCTGCAATTACTGTACTACACATATGCAGCACCGCTATAAACTGAATATTGACACGACACTTAATTTCTAGAGAGGTCAAGAGTTAAACAAAAAAGCTTAATCGCTAGAGAAGTCAAGAGTCAAATAATGAACACCATATACTCCGCAAATATTTTACGAAAAAAAACGAAATCAACAAAATAATAAAACAAATATATCGATATTTGTTTACCAAATGAATGTTATCTGCACGTGAAAATGGATTCAATAATACATGTCACACGCACAAATTACAATTGATTCATGATGACTTGATAGCTACTTCAGCACCTACAAATGAGTGAATATTATTACATTGGAGGTTATTATTGGTGATCGTTGCGTGCATTATGAATTTCCAAAACACATTTGGAAATGAATTCCATTAAGTGATCCTATCTGTGCGTTTAAATTGGTGGTGAGGATGATAAACGTAGCACAGCTGCATTTGTCAATTCCAATCTCAAAAAGAATAGTTTCGGAATAATTTACGCCACATTTTCTGTTTTAAAAGAGAGAAACCTTAGATTGTGTAGTAGTTTGTTGACCGAGCGGCTGCGTTAAATGTCAGCGGTAAATAGTTGTTACACGCCGTGTAATTGCAGAACCTTAGTGATGCAAATTTATTTGCAAAGACTGACAACGCCAGCGCGAATGTGAGGACCACGCTGATGAACGGTGGACTTGATTTAGCATGAAACTTAAAGCAGAGTGTAAGATTGGATGCCAGCAGTTTGGAGTGGTCTTTGGGGGATGACTTGTTTATGTTATCGCCTTCGTCAATAAGTGCTGTAAAGGTTGGGATCATGAGCCCGTTTGTCGGTGGGTCGGTGAAAACATGGCTCCTGTCCATTCAGGGAAACCGATTTAAATGTGAGTTTGTTGAGATGGCTTTGAATATGCATGTTAAAGTGCTGTTGACAGTCAACCAAAACAACAAGGTATTTAGAAGACGCTACACGTTCTGTATCGGATCGTTTCATACCCTGGGCACTTGCATGACGTGGGTTTCGGAAGGTGTCGGCGAGTACCTTGTATCTGGACATTCTTCTCCATCACCGTCAGGAGCCACGGTCAATCCACTGTTGAACGAGAGCCACTCTTAAGTCGTTGTCATCTCTCACCCACAGTTCTGGAATGCACCCATCCCCATTGCTCCATCTTTTTGGTTCATGTCCCCTCGAAGCATTACGTATCTTGGTTGCCATTATATTATTGTTATTGTTCCATACAGACTATACATTTGGAATGTTTTATTGAATTTCCTGCATGATATTAAGGTCGCGTTGCATTGCGGTATTTATAGTCAATTTGTGGGGGGGGGGGGGGGTTGTTGCGTGTCGACTAATTTGGGAATTGAGACAAAAGAAAAATCTACAGCTGACGCACATTGGCGCGCCTCACTTCACCACGCAAATTGAATCTCCGCAAAGGCGCTGCAGAGTCGGCATCGTTACAAGAAAAGCGTGGCGCGTATCTGTGTGCGTGGGTAAAAGAAAAATGGAACCAAACAAAATGTTTTGGAAGACGCATTCCAGCGATCGAGTTTCTGGCCTTGCAGGCACTGATTACAGTTCTTCGTAAAGAGCACGTGCCAGAAGAAAAAAAATATTTGCAGATCTTGAAAAGTTGCCGTGTCAATTTGCTGCGCGAAGCGGAGAGATTTTTTTCAACAGGGGAAGTTTCTTTTTTCGGATGCGCCTGTCCCTCCTGCACGGAAGCAAATTATCCGCGCGCGCGTGCGTGCGCTTTTAAAGTTTAATAAACCATTGCGACAACTAGCAGGCGAGGCAACGCAAGAGACCTCGGTGCCCGTTGTCAGGGGAGGATTGAATCCCAGTGCTCGACAGACACAAGTTAATTTTTCAGTCGTCTGATCGCTTGGGGAAAAGCTTGCCATTAGCTGATTCTCAGCAGATCTCATTAAAAAAAAAACCCCAGCAATTTGTGGGGAAAAGGTTTATTTTTTGTGTTTTGTCACAAAACTGATTGATGGCTCTCGCTGTTGATCTGCAGTTTGCTGCTGTATATTAAAGTAGGTGTCATGGGCGCAGATGAAAACAAGATCTCAGTCGCAGCGTGTTGCCCCAACTTATCTCATTTACTTCCAGCCCCGCTGCTTCAGTGTAATCAGTTCTGCTTGGGATGATTTTACAAAGTGTGATTAAAAACAAACATTGTGCATTCGCTCTGCACCATTAGCCTGAAATTGCAGGCAAGGCAAATTGAAGTCATTTTCAGAGTGGAACTGCATCTCGCAGCAGAACTGCACAGTTGTACTTCGGAATTGCTTTTTAATAAATTCTAACTGGCTAATTAGTCTTCATTATATATTTATTAGACGTAATAGAGGAATAGATTTTAATCATTGTATAGGCGAGCAAAGACACTTTACAGCTTGTTCATGCCCGCCTCTGTGTGCGTGTTCGTTTATGAAATACACATCACCCGTGGCAGGAATTGATTTTGAGGACAATTGAAGTGTTCATGGAATTTCCACAAAATGAACTTCACGAATGGAAATAAAATTAACTCCCATTCCTGATCAGCAGAAATCAAAGCATTGACTACCTTCTGAACTGAAGCACCAAAGACATTGACATTGAACTCTGCATTAGCACTACAGATGTGTTACATCTCATGACATGATGCAATGGAGACCTGAAAATAAATAGCTCATAGAGACAGTTATGGTTTTGGCATTTTTTTCTGTTTTGATGGAAGGCGTCTGTTATGATATTTTCCTTGACAGGCGCTCGCGAATACCACTCACACAGCTGCCTGTGTAGCTTAATACACGTTTTGGTGTGGCCATGATAATGCACTTATTTGAATGTTTGATTTATTAACCTCCAAAAAATTCTAACATTCATGGATTATTTATCTCCGAAAAGCACATTAAGTCTGTAGAATATTTCATATTTCACGGCGATGCTGCATTGAGACGTTTGGCCTGGTCCTGTTTAATTGGTCATTTTGATACGGGAAGAAACTAGCATGCCTATAGAATTACACCCACCGTTTTGCGCAAATGGGTCAGAAAAGCCACTGACTGCAGCACCATCTCCTGGCCAATTTGGTCGTTTTGCAGCCGTGTGGCGGTATGAGAGTTTCACAAATCCACACGATGCGCCAAAACTTTGTCTCAAGAGCTGTTGCTCAGGGGTGGTGAGCGTGTGTAACAGTGCTGCCTGGTGCAGTGTGGAAACGTCAGCAATGGAAATACAACGGCGGCCGTGCATGGTTACCAATCATATCACCCCCTCGTGCGCCATGCTGACCTTAATAGGAGCTCGCTGACGGCACATGCTCCAACAGTATTTACGGCTATAAGGGGATGTTTGTCTTGATGCGTGTGTCGGTAGTGTAGCGGTTAGCGCGCTGCGCTATGCACCTGGCGACCCGGGTTCGATTCCTGCTCACGGCCAACACCAGTGACGATTATCTGAACCGGTCCCGGGCCTCCCCTAGGTCGACTCAGCCTCAAATGAGTACCTGGTGCGGTGTGTAAACATTGCCACTAGGGAGACAAAGGCGGTCGGGCGTGGTGCTGGCCACCCACCCCCTCGTGTACCGTTCCGGCCTTCATAGGTGCTCGCTAACAGCACTTGCCCCTACAGTCTGTTAAGGCTATATGGGGGATCTTTGTCTTTGTCTTTGTCTGTTAGGACTTGTGTCCATATTCATGTATATTTCAGTGTGTGTGTGTGTGATCATATGCACCGGGCGGCCGCACATGGTGTTTGCCACTCAGCCCCTCGTGTGCCTTGCTGGCCTTCGTAGGTGCTCACTAACAGCACTTGCCCTAACAGTCCGCTAAAGCTACACGAGTGATCGTTGTCTTTGTGCATTAGTGTATATGAACGCCTTCGTGCGTGCGTGCATGCGTGCGTGCGTGTGCGTGCCCATACAAATCTGCGAGCAGGCCGCCGCTATCTGCGCGAGGGAACTCTCCTTCGCGTGCCAAGCAAGGGCGGCGACCCCACCCCCAAGATGTTCTTCCTCTTCTCGGACCTCCTGCTCATGTGCAGCCGATGCAGCCAGTTCCACCCGCTGCATGCCGACAAGTACGAGTGCCGCGCCGTTTATCCGCTCGCCGACTGCTCCGTCCAGAAGGTGTTTGGCAATACCCAGAGTCAAGGGGGACTCATCAACGTGAGTCGTCACCCACGCATGCGCCGCGCTCGAGCAGCGAGCCACTTGACAGGCATCTCTCGCGCGACCAAGTCCGCCATCACCACAGCGTCGCGTAGCCGACTCGCTGGGGAGGGGAGTGAGGTTTAGGCGGATATCCGAAAAGGTCGGACATGGGAACGTCTGTCGAAAAATGACAGTTGCACCATGCACGAGTTGTGGGCACTGGACAAGAGTGAAGCGCCCAACTGCTTTAACCGTGGGACGGTGCTTCAGTAGCGAGTGGACGATCGCGAGATTAGGAATACATTACTGCGCGAAAAGGTCGGATATACCAACACCATCGACATATCATGCACCTTGTGTGCGGGTCGGATAATTGGTCAGGGCGGATATGTGACAATGAGATGTGTGATGCTGTACTGTAGTCTTCACGAGGCCAGTTGTGTGCCGGGAATTCTGGTTGGGTGGTGCAGACCGTCGTACTCTTGGAATATCAGGAACTGCTGTCAAAGAGTTTTTTTTTCCCACGTAAAAAAACTGTTAAATTTTTAAAACACTTTCATTTTTATTTATTCATAGTTGCCTAAAATCTTCGTGGCTGTGCACAATTTTTAAACAGTTTTGCACACAAGATGTTATTCCATGCAGTTCGCTTTGCGAAAAAATGAAAAACAATTAACAGAATTGATTGTCGTAATACTGTTATCTGAACATATTTTTAAATCGCACATTTTTTTTTCAAACTGCGTAGGTTAACAGCACGAGTTGTCTGTCAAATACATGAACGGTCGGTGTCTCCCTCTTAAAACGAGTATTTGGGGGCGGTACTCATCTTCTTGCCAAGGGAACGGCCGTGCGTTGCTCCTGCGTAGGTTCATCGCGGTTGTGCTGCCTCGCCATGCGACGTGATCTCGGGTTGTGCCGCGTGGCTTTCGGCGCGGTGTCCCGTGGCTCCGACGTCTGACGTTGCGCTCCGCGCGGCGGGAACCAATTCGGGCTCTCTTCCCACCCCCCCCCCCAGTAGCTTTCAGCACGTGGAGCGAAGCGTCGGACATAACGCCGAACGGAAGGCGGTAACGACCCGAGAAAGCACCCGAGAGCCTCACAATTGTGTGAAAATGCGTGAGAAATTTCTCGCATTCGCAGTTGGCCTTATGTGGTGGGCTTAATGCGACGTGGAAGAGGCTTTTGCATTCGGGTTTATTATGCAGCACGTATTGATCAGTGGTGTTGACGGTGTGGGAGTATTTAGCGTTTACTCCTGTTTAAGACACTCAGGGGAAATGCGAGAGTGCGGGGGCCCACCGGTCCTGCCTTACACCCTCGTCTCCTGGGAAGTTAAATGTCTTTTAATTTCCCGTGCCTGTGGGTGGAATCTGGGGGATAAAGCCACTGACATTGCTTTCAAATTAGAGTGTTCAATTAACTACCAGTTGGTGTTACCTAACGCTGGAAGATGTGAAGATAAGCTGTTTCCGTATTTAGCTTGAATCTATGTCTTGGCACAAAGCATATTCATATATATATTGCAGTCCACTACAATTGTATACGTAGACTTTCCCTATCCGATATTATGATTCATAATTGGATTGTTTTTGGTAGTGATCGTGTTGGTATCATTTCAATTCGTCACTGTAACCGACCACCACGTGACAGATCAAGTTGTCACGTGGACAAATCTGATTCGGTTTTTCAGCAAACCGGAGGAAGGTTGAAAAGCAAGCAATTTTATCCATTTGGCTGGAGATCACATCCATCATCATTAACATCGGGTTATTAACAACAGCGGTTCTGCAAGGATACGCCTGTGCCCGACGACAGGAATGTGGAATTGTCACCACAGGCTTAGTGCTGTTATTTCAGATGGCCACCATCAAACGGTTTGGACACGGTAGACACTTTTACTTCACTTGGTTCAGTTACATTACAATCGTGCTGTTGGCATCGTGTCACGAGGCGAATGCCACGGAGGATGGTGCATCACTACGTAACTACTTCTTAAGTCGCTTCATTAGGTTTCTTTACCCTCGTGCCTTTTAATTCCTTTTGAAGAGGCTTTGTTACATGTCCAAACGACATTTGTAACCCTCGCGACAAGAATGAGCCCAAGTAAGTGATAATCGATGTCACGATTATTATTTGTCGCAGTGTCTTGGTGACAGGGCTGAAAAGAGCAGCTCGCTCCGCTTGAGCAGCCGGCTTAGTTCCGGTGGCTGAATCACCTGGACTCGAACTCGGGTTCTCAGCGATACCGGCTCACTGCTCTGACCCCTGAATCAACCGGCCACCTGACAATTTTACTTGACTTGAACACAACTGACCACTTTAAAGGTTAAAAAACCATTACACTCTAATTATTATCAATACTGATGCGCACACGTAAAAAAACAAAAACAAATGTAGGTTTATGATCAGGGTTTTTCCCCAGGAGTATATTTGTATGTATGTGTGCATGAATGTTGAAATTATTTCGCACCATACGTAGCCAACCATGCTTAATCGAAGGTGCAGCTTGGGCCCAGGCTGACTGAGTGTGCGGCGGATGCGCAGTGCATTTAGCGGTCACCTTCCAGCCGAGAGGTGCCACCAGGGCACGGGGGAGAGTCGGCTTTAAAATAGCGGGGTCTCGCAGCTGCCCCATCACTGTCTGTCCTCCACAGCTGTGCTACCAGAAGGAGGAGCTGCTCCTGATGTCAGTGGACCAAGATGACATCAATGACTGGTTTAAGCATCTGGATGCCGCTATTGGGTGAGTCTCTTTGTGTTTTTCTCACACGTTCAGCTACCACGTTCGTATGCACGGATCGATTGCCCTCGTCCTCCCCGCGATTGGATGAACTGTCGCGAATTCGAGGTCATGATTAGATTGGGTGAATGGCAGCACCTGTAGTGGCTGCAGGAATTTTTTTTTTAAACGTCTGTTTTTACACGTGTTATTTGCTGCTTATTATCATCATAATATTAGAAGTAGGTATACATTGATGCATCATTACATGCCTGCACTTATTGGTTGGCGCAGTGCGTCACAAGCTCAGGGGCTCGAGTCTTGGCCATCAATAACATTCGAGGCAGGTGGTATCTGAGCCTCTCCTGGGCCTCCCCTAGGAAAACTATAAGTGTCTGTTTCTAATTAAATTTAGACTCTGCTTTTACACAACTGAGTCTTTTTTTACCCCTAATATTTAACGCTGATTTATCTACAAGGCAGTTAATTTTTCTCTAATAATAATAATTCCTCCCAACATTTGTTTTAAAGCTGCTCGCGCAAATCCACAACTTTTCCCAGTGTTCAGCTGCTGTTTAAATGGAACACTGATCCACATCTCCCCACTAACTTAATGGTGCCAAGCGATCATTTCGCCAGAACACAAACATGTTTTGAATAATTGCGTTTTGCACCATTAACCTCGCAAGATAAATTAATATAATTGATATAATTGGGGCCATATGCCAAAATTAATTTTTCATCAATGTGCCTCGAAATTAAGTAAATTGTATGAACTGAATGATGACATTTTTGCTGAGTTAAAATGAACGCTCGCTTACTGCGCATTTAATTAAGCGAGTCTCTCTCCCAGCTAAGCCCACATGTTGGGATGTTTGTGGTGATGACGCAGCGTTATCCGCTGTCCATCACTTTGTGCCTTTGTAGAGCATCCACAACCATTTACCTTGTGACTTTCTGTGATCAAGCATGCTGCCGGGCTACTTTCAGTAGTCTCCATTACATTTTTGTAATGTATTCTAGTCCTGTATACATATTCAGGGGGCAGTTGCGCAATGGTTAGCTATGGACCTGATGAGCTGAATTTAATTCCTGGCCAATGCTAACGTCGTGATATCTGAAACGGCCCAGGGTCCTCCTCATCTATTTCAGCAACCGGCAATGACCAGCGTGGTGAAGTTTGTATGGTCAAACAACCCCCACAAATAACATGATGTGTATGTATATATGTTGAACTTCTTTCGCACCGTACATAGTCAACCGTGCTCATCGGATGTACGGTGGAAGGACAACAAACTAAACACAAAAAGCATTTCTTGAGCAATGCATTTTCAATCTAGATTTAAAATTGCATAATTCCAGTGGCTTCCTAATATCGGAAGAAAGAGCGTTCCAGACAGCTGCAGAAACGCACCTGAAAGCTCTCGATGCAGTTGTGACCGTCTTTGTTTGATGGCGAGCCAAAAGCCGCTGTGAGGATGACCAGAGTTCGTGTGATGGTTTATGCTCCTTGACGAGATCAGCAAGGTATTGCGGTTCATTTGTTGCACACGCTTTGTGTGTAACGAGCGCGACCTTAGAATGTATTCGTTCGGCAACCGGAAGCCAATGCAACTCGGCAAGTACCAGACGGACGTTGTGGGATCTTGCAGTACCCGTCACGCTGCAGCTTTTTTTAATGTTTTTGTCAAGCGTCCCGTGGAGTAGTGAGTTGTAATAATCGAGCCTTTTAGGTACTCTGCGACACGCCACCTTGTAGGCTGTCACGACTTAATAGTGTGAGCAGTTCTTCGTCCATACATTTGTGAACTAAGGGCTGTACAGTATTGTTTTCTATCACATCTCATTTATGTATGTGTGAGTAGTTGTGTTTTAAATTTAGAATTTGTAAAAAAAATGTGTTTTTCTAGTTCCAAGTGTATGAGTTACCAAAATTTAAAAGTACAGCTAAATTGAAAGGTTGCCCCATTGTGCATAACGCACTGGAAAGTCACATTTAGTATGAAACTTAATATAATGTGAAATGTTCAAAAGCAGCAAAAATGCTCTTATGAGTAGTTGTTCTATCGACGTAAAATATTAATATCTTAGCAACCTTCTAACATATGCAACCTCAACACTTGCTGATAAATGAAGCATATGCGTTATCATTCCACGTAACTGAGGCTTCATACTTAACTGAGTTTTTTTACAGTCCACGCTTCCCATTAAATCGTGCCATAAAAATGGTCCAATCTCAATACGAGCGTGCACTGGCGGACCGAGCTGCCTTATACATCATCCTATGCAATGTATAAACAAAAACATTCACAATTTAAATTGCTAAATTGCAAATGTCGCCTCAGTGGAAAGTTACTTTGTTCTAACGTCGACGGTAATTTAGAAAGTACAGAAAACATGAAGGAAGCTCTTATTTAAAATTCGGAAAAGCCTCGTGTACTGTGAGGGAAAAAAGTATTTGATCCCTTGGTGATTTTGTACGTTTGCCCACTGACAAAGAAATGATCAGTCTATAATTTTAATGGTAGGTTTATTTGAACAGTGAGAGACAGAATAACAACAAAAGAATCCAGAAAAACGCATGTCAAAAATGTTATAAATTGATTTGCATTTTAATGAGGGAAATAAGTATTTGACCCCTCTGCAAAACATGACTTAGTGCTTGGTGGCAAAACCCTTGTTGGCAATCACAGAGGTCAGACGTTTCTTGTAGTTGGCCACCAGGTTTGCACACATCTCAGGAGGGATTTTGTCCCACTCCTCTTGGCAGATTTTCTCCAAGTCATTAAGGTTTCGAGGCTGATGTTTGGAAACTAGAACCTTCAGCTCCCTCCACATATTTTCTATGGGATTAAGGTCTGGAGACTGACTAGGCCACTCCAGGACCTTAATGTGCTTCTTCTTGAGCCACTCCTTTGTTGCCTTGGCCGTGTGTTTTGGGTCATTGTCATGCTGGAATACCCATCCACGACCCATTTTCAATGCCCTGGCTGAGGGAAGGAGGTTCTCACCAAAGATTTGACGGTACATGGCCCCGTCCATCGTCCCTTTGATGCAGTGAAGTTGTCCTGTCCCCTTAGCAGAAAAACACCCCCAAAGCATAATGTTTCCACCTCCATGCTTGACGGTGGGTATGGTGTTCTTGGGGTCATAGGCAGCATTCCTCCTCCTCCAAACACGGCGAGTTGAGTTGATGCCAAAGAGCTCCATTTTGGTCTCATCTGACCACAACACTTTCACCCAGTTGTTCTCTGAATCATTCAGATGTTCATTGGCAAACTTCAGACGGGCATGCATGTGCTTTCTTGAGCAGGGGGACCTTGCGGGCGCTGCAGTATTTCAGTCCTTCACGGCGTAGTGTGTTACCAATTGTTTTCTTGGTGACTATGGTCCCAGCTACCTTTAGATCATTGACAAGATCCTCCCGTGTAGTTCTATGCTGATTCCTCACCGTTCTCATGATCATTGCAACTCCACGAGGTGAGATCTTGCATGGAGCCCCAGGCCTAGGGAGATTGACAGTTCTTTTGTGTTTCTTCCATTTGCGAATAATCGCACCAACTGTTGTCACCTTCTCACCAAGCTGCTTGGCAATGGTCTTGTAGCCCATTCCAGCCTTGTGTAGGTCTACAATCTTGTCCCTGACATCCTTGGAGAGCTCTTTGGTCTTGTCCCTGGTGGAGAGTTTGGAATCTGATTGATTGATTGCTTCTGTGGACAGGTGTCTTTTATACAGGTAACAAGCTGAGATTAGGAGCACTCCTTTTAAGAGTGTGCTCCTAATCTCAGCTCGTTACCTGTATAAAAGACACCTGGGAGCCAGAAATCTTTCTGATTGAGAGGGGGTCAAATACTTATTTCCCTCACTAAAATGAGTGGTGCTGGCCACCCACCCCCTCGTGTGCCATGCCAGCCTTCATAGGCGCTCGCTAACAGCACTTACCGCAACAGTATGTTATAGGCTATACGGGGGATCGTTATTGTTTGTATGCTTGTGTGCTTATAAAAGCATTTCTGTGGTTCTATGTGTACAGTGAGGGAAAAAAGTATTTGATCCCCTGCTGATTTTGTACGTTTGCCCACTGACAAATAAATGATCAGTCTATAATTTTAATGGTAGGTTTATTTGAACAGTGAGAGAGAATAACAACAAGGAAATTCAGAAAAACGCATGTCAAAATTAGTATAAATTGATTTGCATTTTAGTTAGGGAAATAAGTATTTGACCCCCTCTCAATCAGAAAGATTTCTGGCTCCCAGGTGTCTTTTATACAGGTAACGAGCTGAGATTAGGAGCACACTCTTAAAAGGGAGTGCTCCTAATCGCAGCTTGTTACTTGTAAAAAAGACACCTGTCCACAGAAGCAATCAATCAATCAGATTCCAAACTCTCCACCATGCAAGATCTCACCTCGTGGAGTTGCAATGATCATGAGAACGGTAAGGAATCAGCCCAGAACTACACGGGAGGATCTTGTCAATGATCTCAATGCAGCTGGGACCATAGTCACCAAGAAAACAATTGGTAACACACTACGCCGTGAAGGACTGAAATACTGCAGCGCCCGCAAGGTCCCCTTGCTCAAGAAAGCACATATACATGCTCGTCTGAAGTTTGCCAATGAACATCTGAATGATTCAGAGGACAACTGGGTGAAAGTGTTGTGGTCAGATGAGACCAAAATGGAGCTCTTTGGCATCAACTCAACTCGCCGTGTTTGGAGGAGGAGGAATGCTGCCTATGACCCCAAGAACACTATCCCCACCATCAAACATGGAGGTGGAAACATTATGCTTTGGGGGTATTTTTCTGCTAAGGGGACGGGACAACTTCACCGCATCAAAGGGTCGATGGACGGGGCCATGTACCGTCAAATCTTTGGTGAGAACCTCCTTCCCTCAGCCAGGGCATTGAAAATGGGTCGTGGATGGGTATTCCAGCATGACTGACCCAAAACACACGGTCAAGGCAACAAAGGAGTGGCTCAAGAAGAAGCACATTAAGGTCCTGGAATGGCCTAGCC